CCTCCTCTCCTCCTCCTCCTCCTCCTCCTCCTCCTCCTCCTCCTCCTCCTCCTCCTCCTCCTCCTCATCGGCCCTCAATCCTCAGTCCTCCATGTAGATCGTGATCGTCCTGACGGAGGTGCAGACCCCGCTGCGCGGGCGGCGATAGCGGCGGCAGCGCCGCGTGGCGCGCCGCGCTGCCGCCAGGATGGGCACCGAGTCCACGAAGGAGGAGGCGGAGGAGGGTGCTGGTGCGGCCGCTGCTCCCGCGGGCCTCGCGCTCGTGCAGGCGGCGGTGGCCTCCGCCGAGGCGCCCCACGACGACGACATGGATGACGAGTGGGCGGACGACGCACGTCGGGTCGCCCCCGCATCTCGCGGAGGCTGGTGCTGCTGCTGGAGCCGACGGGCGCGCTGCGGCGCGGCTGTCGGCGGAGGCGGTGGCGGTCGCGGAGTCCAAGCTCGTGCAGACGGGAGCGGGAGCGGTGCCTGGTGGCGACGCGGACGTCGAGACGGCCGAGACGTCTGCGTTCCTTGGGAGGCTGGGCGTCGGCGCTGTGGACTCGGGCGGCCTCCTGGCGGCGCTGGGCGCCGCCATCGCCTCGCTCTCGAAGGACGACAGGGCGGTCGCGAGGCGCCTCCTCGTCAGCCTCGCGGGCGGCCGCTGCCGGTGGCCCAGGTTGCTGCCGGACGCCGCTGGGGGCGGCTCGGGGGGACGGTGGGGGCCTGCGCCGTTTTGCGGCTATGGCGCCGTCTCCCCACCCCCAGCGGCCAGCACCACTTCGACCTCGGCTGAGGTCCGCCTCGAGGCGCTCCAGTTTCGGATGCGGCGACCCTCTAGTCCCTCGGTTCCTCCTCCTCCTCCTCCTCCTCTTCCTCCTCCTCCCCCTCCTCCTCCTCCTCCTCCTTCTCCTCCTCCTCCTCCTCCCTCACCATCTCCTCCTCCGTCTCCTCCTCCACCTCGTCCTCCTCCATCTCTCCTCTCTCGTCCTCTCACCATCTCCTCTTCCCCGGACCCTTCTGACCCTTCTGACCCTTCTGACCCTTCTGACCCCTGGGCCACAGAGTGCACGAGGCTTTAGGAAACTGTGTCTCTCGCCGCGCTGGTCAGGCTCGGAAGGACTGGTCTGCGTGGCTGCTCGAAGACATTAACCAGGGTGCGCGACGTGCCCACCAGATTTCCAAGGATCCTGCGGCTTGGAGACCGACCAGTGCGCTCAGTCGTTTTGGTCCCTTTGTGTCCGACCCCTCCGAGCTCCTCCGAGCGGAGACGTCGAAGTTCGGGGCCCTTCTTGGAGGGCCAGCGATGTGCTGGGAAAGCTTTGGGGCACACAACTTCCCCCCCCCTCGCTGATTCAGTCCGGCACTGTCATGTTAACGTCAAAATTTTATTCGAGGCGCCCAGCGGTGGGTCTGGACGGCTTCCACGTGGGGCATTGCCAGTTTCTGTCTAACGCCTCGCTCGAGTGCCTGGCGCTGCTGTGTCAAATGGTAGAGTCGTTGGCCATCCCCCCCAAGGAGCTGAGGGCGCTCATCATAGCCTCTGCCCCCGAGAGAGTCCCAGGTTTTCGTCTCATCAGTTTTTTCCCCAGCCTGCACCGCCTCTGGGGGCGGCGTCGGCGGCATCTCCGCGGAGGCCTGGGAGCTCGAGCACGACAGGCCCTTCTGGGCCGCGGGGAAGTACCGTTCGTCGACGGACACGGTGCGGCGACAAACGGTGGAGCCCGGAACCAGTACGTCTTCCCAGCTTCATTCGGGAAAAGTGTTTTGGGACATGCTTACATACTACGAGCAGATCCCCCTCGTGCTGCTGGAGGACAAGGGCCACCGCCTTACTTTCCCCCCGGTTCTATTCGGGGTCCGGCTTGCCGCTTGCCGTTCTGCGAGACACATGGTCTTGTGCGGAGTGGTGCCCACTGCGCTTTATGCTCAATTCGGCGTGGTCGCGGGCCGTTCGCTGGCGACGACGTTGATCAGGGTTTTCGGATTGGAAGCTTTAGGCTCTGCTCCGTTGCCGCTGAGCACTACGCTTGATGTTTATATCGACGACACGGGGATCAGTTGCGAAGGCACGGAGGAGCATGCCATTGCTAGCATCTCTCGGGCTACCGAGGCCCTCCGCGTTGCCATCGCTCGGGCGATGCAAGCCCAAATCTCCATGGATAAAGTTGCTTGTGTGTTCTCGTCTCGGGTTATCCATGCCCGTCAGCACAAAAAGCTCGGGGGCCTTATCGGGCCCAGACTGGAAACCACGGTCAACCTCGGGATTGATGTCACTGGAGGTTTGCCGAGACGGGTCCGCGGCCGCAGCGCGAAGGCGAAGAGTAGGACGCCAGCTGTTGCCCGCAGGTCCAGGCACACAGCGCGATGGCGCCCTGTACTCGGTCGTCGGGCAGCTCAGGTTTTTGTTTCGGGGCCTCTCGATGGCCTGCTCCACGGCTCGGAGGTGCGCGGCGTGTCCGACGGGGCGTTCGCCCGCGCGCGCCGCATGCTCGTCTCTGTCATCCGCCCCGCCTGCGGAGAGCGACGAAGTTATTCATTCTTGCACGCCTAGAGAATGATCCAGCTTGGCATGGTAGTGTTTATTTTGTTTTTGCGTTTTTGTCAGGAGCTTCGGCTTCTTCAAACAAAAGTGACCTCTTGGTGTCTTTCTTGGGGGTAGATCCGTAGGGGTTGATGTTCCTCTTGGGCTGCTCCTCCGAGGTCCTGGCGGTTTGTGAAGGGCCCCATTTGTTGCATTCATCTGTCGCTGCAACGGATAAACTGGTCCATGGTTGATCCCTTTACGTTGCCCGATGAAGACGGCAAATCCCCCCCCATTCTCACTTCCTCCTCTGCTCTTTTAAAGCCGTTTCTTAGGTCTCCGGTCATGACGCGCCTCGCGGTCGAGGCGGTTCTACATATATTGACGGACCTTGCATTTGTGTCGATGTTGTCTCGAGAGGGTCGTCCTCGTGAAAACTCACCCCAAAGCAAAAAGGGGCCATCAGGGCAGTTGCGCGTGGAGCTATCTGGCCCCCGTTTAAGTGCGCGGCCAAGGGGTATCGCGTGGATGATTGTTGCCTGTCACGCGATCAGGTAGGACACGCGATCATGAATCGGCTGTGTTTCTGCGACCGTTGCGAGAAGGAGCGAGTGAGCATAGTCGGCCAGAGACTCTTTGAGCGTGCGCGTTCGTGTTTAGCCGAGCCTCCGCCAGGACCTGATTTCCTTTGCGAGGCAGGCCTGTTCGTGCACCCCTCCAAGGACGCCCCACCCTCTGTCAGCATTGACGGGGCAATGGCATTACTCTACCGCTAATGAAAAACATCAATGCTCCTAAACAACTCCAAGTATTCCCAGAGGTTTTTGCCGAGAAAGACCTCACTCCGCCTGATCACTGGGTTCGAGAGCTCAAGGATGGGCTGTGCGGCGACGGCAGTTGCTTTCGGTTTGTTATCAAGGATTTGTCTCGATCGGGCTGGGGAGTGGTCTGGCTCAGTGAAGCTGGACGTATCCTAGCTCGGTGTTTCGGGCCTCTTGGCAGTTCGCTCCCCCAGACTACTGTCGCTGCAGACTTCGCGGTTCCTGTTGCTGCCGCGTCGCTTCTGGTCGGAGATTTCGGTTTGTCAGTATGATTGCTTTGCGGTCGTGCACCATTGTTCGAAACCTCCGAGGGACCACGCCGCCGATGTAGCGGCACAAATGGAGCCGCTCTTCGCCCTCGCCTCGCGGATGCCGAGGCTGAAGGGATCCAATGTATGTGTGCCGTTTCGAGAGGTGTGACCAGATTGGCAGCGAACATGATGAAGAGATGGCCTCGGACCGACCTGGGGGGTGTTGCTCGTGTTTCTGAGCCGCCCCCCGCTTGTGAAAGATCCGAGGCCATCTCATGAATGGGAGCTAGTTGGGCAAACGCCCCCTCGTTTTGTTGGCGATGTTTTCGTTGTCTACGATGCGCTCGGCCGCCGTCGACGAGGCCAGCACCTGGCGTCTGCACCCTGCTGCCTCGCATTCAGCCCCATTCGCTCCGCGATCTCGCAGATGCGTTGTAGTTGATTGCAGCGATTCCCCTTCCGCTTGCATCTGCCAACGGTGTGGCTCCTTCACCACTGGAGGCAGGGTCGCTGCACTTGCGGTTGTATGCGTTCCTCTCGCACAGCATCAGAAAAGCGAGAGCTGGAGGCCGTTGGTCAAGAAATCCCACCACAAGCGGGCTGGGACCACAGTCGATGTCCCAACCTTGTGCCCCCTGTAAAGGGGGTCGGTGGCAGCGGATGTCAAACGAATCCTCCTCCTCCTCCTCCTCCTCCAAATCAACCTCCTCCTTCTCCTCCTCATCATCATCCCTTACCTCCTCGTCCTCATCCGCTTCTTCCTCCTCCTCCTCCTCCTCATCCCCCTCCCCCCTCCTCCTCCTCCTCCTTCTCCTCCTTCTCCTCCTCCTCCTCCTCCCTCCTCCCTCCTCTCCTCCTCCTCCTCCTCCTCCTCCTCCTCCTCGTCCTCGTCCTCGTCCTCTTCCCCCCCTCCTCCTCATCCCTCCTCCTCCCTCCTCCTCCTCCTCCTCCTCCCCGCGCGACCCCAGTCGATTCGGGAATAGCATTCGAAGTGTCTCCGCCTCCTTTTTCTCCTCCTCCTCCTCCTCGTCCTCCTCCGCCCTCCTCCTCCTCCTCCTCCTCCTCCCCTTCCTCCTCCTCCCTCCCTCCTCCTCCTCCTCCTCCCTCCTCTCCTCCTCCTCCTCCTCCTCCTTTCTTCCCCCTCCTCCTCCTCCTCCTCCTCCTCCTCCTCCTCCCCCTTTTTTCTCCTACTCTTCCTCCTCTCCTCCTCCTCCTCCTCTCCTCCCCTCCCTCCTCCTCTCTTCTCCACCTGCTCCACCTCCTTCTCCTTGTCCCCCTCCTTCTCCTCCTTCCCCTCCTCCTCCTCCTCCTCCTCCTCCTCCACATCCTCCTCCTCCCCCTCCCCTTTTGAGGTTTCGAGGCGGCCCTCCATGTTCTCTCCCTCCCCCCTCCATCTCCTCCCCCTCCGCCTCCCCCCGGGGCCAGGTGGACGCCTTCACCTTCGCCGCCCTCTCCGAACTGATTGTCTGCTTCGCGGCCCAGGGCCGCGCGCTAACGCCGGCCCCCGGCTTCTGGGAGGCCGCGGCGGCGAAGGCGGGCGGCCGGCGGAGGTGGTTTCGGGAGCATGGAAGGGTCGGAAAGGAGGAGGAGGAGGAGGAGGAGGAGGAGGAAGAGGAGGAAAGGGCGGAGGGGAGGTAGGAAGAAAGGGAGGAGGACATGGAGGATGGAAAAAGAAGGATATGCAGGATGTGAAGGAGGAGAAGGAACGGGAGGAGGAAATGGAGTAGGAAAGGGAGGAGGAAAGGGGGGAGGAAAGGAGGAGGAGGTTGAGGAGGAGGAGGAGGAGGAGAAGGAGGAGGAGGAGGAGAAGAAGGGGGAGGAGGAGGAGGAGGAGGAGGAGAAGGAGGAGGAGGAGGAGGAAGATCACAAGGAGGAGGAGGAGGAGGAGGACAAGGAGGAGGGCGAGGAGGAGCGTTCCGGGAGGAACAGCATCTGGGGGGCTGGGCTGCGGGGGAGGAGGAGCCTGGGAGGAGGAGGAGGAGCAGGAGCAGGAGGAGGAGGAGGCAGCTCGCTCTCGGCCGCTTCGTGTTGCTAGAACAGGGGCGAGCACGATGGCGGTGGAGGCCTTTGCTCTTGTTTGGTGCCCGTTGGTCCCATGCTGCTCCTCGCGTAGCCGCGGGCGTGGGAGCGCGTGCGGAGGACGACGCCTCCGCGGCCTGCCCAAGAGAAAGGGGGCAAGGATCAGCAGGAGTACAGTCGGGGCCCTGAAGAAGGAACCCCTCGTTGGGGAGGGGCTCCGTGCTCCTTGATTGTTTCGCAGTTTGCCTCAGGGTTTCCTTATGTTTTCGATGGGAAATCGAAGTTTAACTTATGAAAAAAGGGGCCTCGTTCCTTATTTGGGGTTCCTTAGGTCAACGCCCCGACTGTAGGATCGGAGGGATGAGGCCGATGAGGGCGAGCAGGGCGGCGAGGAGGGGGCGAGGCGGAGCGGAGGTCGGAGCGCAGGCAGGAGGAGGGGCGAGGGTAGTCAGGAGGGGGGAGGGAGGAGGGAGGAGGAGGGGCGAGGGGGCGAGGGTAGTCGGGGTGTCGAGGAGGAGAAGTGGCGGAGCGGAGTTCGGAGCGCTGGCAGGAGGAGGGGCGAGGGTAGTCAGGAGGGAGGAGGGAGGAGGAGGAGGGGGCGAGGGTAGTCGGGGTGTCGAGGAGGAGAAGTGGTGGAAAGGAGGTCGGAGCGCAGGCAGGAGGAGGGGCGAGAGTAGTCAGGTGGGGGGAGGGAGGGGGGCGTCAACTGACCACCTCGCCCTCGGTGTGCACGCCCCCGCGGCTCTGCCAGGGAGGCGCTGGCACCGGTCTTGGGACCAGCACGAGCCCAGCCAGGCGCGGTGAGGCGGCCAGTGGACGCCCCCTCCGGAAAGAGGCAGAAGCAAAAGAGACTGCACACTCCAATGCATCCAGCTGGCCCTCTCTCTCGTTCCCTCTCGCCCAGATGCCCTCGCCCAACACCTCCAGAAGCAATCAAGACAACACAGATCCCATCGCCCAAAACATGAAGCTGAGCCTCTCTCCCTCATCCTCGGCGGCGCGCCTCAGGGGGGAAGGCAGAAGAGGGCGGTCCTTTCAGAAGGCTCCGAGGATCTCTGGCCGTCTGGGGAGCCGGAAGCCTGCCGAGAGCCTTCTCCCCGGCCGCAGGCGGCTTGCCGGAGGGCCTTGGGGCTTCTGAGAAGCCCCGGCCACACCCTGAGAAGGCTTTTGCCCTCTCTCTCTCTCTCTCTCTCCTTGTCCCACTCGGCGCGCCGCCGGCCTTCTTTCGGGAGGGGGGAGGCAGCAGCAGCATCGGCTTGCCGTTTGCACCCAGTTCTACCCTGTGAGGGACCCCGTGGGTCTGAGCGGGTCCACTGCACCTCGTGTCAGGTCGTTGGTGACCCCGCTGGTAGAAGCAATGGCTCTCGCGTTCTCCTTGCTTTCCTTCGTTTCCGGCGCCGCTGGTCGAGGAACGCGCCCGCCTTCTGAGAGGCCCTCTGCGTCTTCGGAGAAGGCGTAGAATGCTTCTCGGAAGGCTGGAGGCCTTCTGAGCCTTCTGAGCAGGCCCGTCACCTCTGCTTCCCCCATGGGCGCGCCGCCAACGTTCTCTCTTGCCCAAGACGTCCAGCTAATCCTCTGTCACCCCTCAGAGGCAGACCTTAGTGGTTGTTGGGAACGGCAGGGCCATGTTTTACCATTTCCAAGAATCTTGATCTTGATGATGAAAATGGTTGGAACAATAGGTTCGCCTCAACGGATGAACCAAGTGCTTCAGGATTGAGGTAAGAGCTTGAACCAGAACAAACAAACGGCGACGGAACCAGCAACAAGAACGGCGGCGGAACCGGAAGCACAAAACGGCAACACGCAAATTCACAAAACAACGATTTTGTCGTCTCCGAGAACCACTGAGACAGACACTTCGTGCTGCGACGATGCGGACGCCGTCCGGGTATGCCGAAGGATGTGTCCAGACCTGCTCAACTGGCAGGCTGAGGTTATTTATCGGGGGGCGAGCCCGATAACCCGGGTTATTGCTGGACCCCTCGCAAAAAAACAGCAGACATTGGGCCGCGATGAAACGGGGAGGCGATCAATGGGGGGGAGCGACAACTGGGAGGGCAGCGAGGGCTGCAGAAAAGGGGCCATTCAGTGTCCGTAAAGGTGCCCTTTCGGGCCCAGATGGGAGTTTCTCCCCCCTCCATTTGTCGCGCCCCACAATTTGAGCGACGCGCCAGCAGGGACAGAGGCAGCACGGTCGCCATCTCAAGCGCTGGGACGACAAAGCCAATACTTGTGTGCGCCGACGCAGACCAGACCTTCAGCGACCGCCCACACATACCCACTCGAAAGGTGAACCAAACGACATCACATGGATGCGAACAGCCCACGACACGGAAACATGAACGTCGCTCGAGCATCACTGCACCGGCCCCGCACCAGCAAGCACGCAGGACAATGACCAATGACATGACCTCCCACCCGCGCCGACACCGACACCAAGCATTTCTTCTTCTTCTTCTTCTTGGCCTCCCCTCCCTCCAATCTTTCGACACACGAGCACACCGAGCAGCACGCTGGCATCGACCTCCAGGACCTTCCTCCCCCCATTCCTCCTCATACCTTTTTATACATGTGTCTCGCATTGCATGTTGTCCAGACGCGCCAGATTTCTGAGGCGAAGGCCTTGTCCACTTGGTTTTAGCTAGGCCCGGACGGTGTCCGCAGCGGTGGTCGTATCGTATCGTATAGTATCGCTTCGTGCCAATGAAGCGACGCCTGAAGACAGTGGCCGTGCGCGCCGCCAGCCCCCCCCCCTGGCGAGGCGCCCGGGAGCCGCATGGCATCGCTCTGCCCGGCGCTGCGCGCGCTGCCGGTGCAGCAGGCCGCTGGTGTCGGGGCGGGGGGCAGGCCCTGCCGCCCCACCCCCTCCCTCCTCTCCTCCTCCTCCTTGGCGCGGGACGGACCTGGATCGACTGGGATGGCTTCGTCCCCTCCTCCCCCATGTCCTCCATCCGCCTTGACGTCAGGCAAACCTAGATCGACTGTGATAATTAGCCGCGTCCTCTCCTCCTCATCTCCTTCCTCGCTCCTGCTCCCCTCCCCATCTTTCTTCCGTCCCCACCCTCATCCGTCCTCCTCGCTCCTCCTCCCCATCCTTCTCCTCCTCGCCCTGCTCATCGCCATCTTCTCAAGACCCGTTCTCCACCAACTGACCCCCTTGTACCGTCAGCTTGCGCTGGGCCCTGCCCTTGTAAGGGCGCCGGTTTGGGGATCGAGCGGCCCCCTCCCTGCGCCCGGCTCTCCATGGAAGGGTGTCGCCAGAGCTGGCATCGAGCCGATTCCCGGCTCCCTGCTCCTTGACATCGCTCGGACGTGTGCATTTTTTCTCGGCGAGAACCATCGAGGACCATCCTGAACCATCGAGTCAACAAAAACACGCACGAAATCGAAGAATGCACGGGAAATGGACGTCCGAGCGAGCGACGGCAAGGCTCTCTCCCGTCGGCTACACGTACAGTGGGGGCGCAGGCCAAGAGACACCCTGCTTGCCTCCAGGGTGCCCTGGGTTTCTTGGGTTTCAATGGTTGTGCGATGGAAGGCGTGACGTTCCCACACGAAGAATCGATGGACGTCTTCGGGTCTCAGGGTTGGGTTTCTTGTGGAAAGTCTCTTGTGGTCGGAGCCCTACTGTAAGAGTGACCCTTCGTTGGAGTATCCTTCGGTGCGGGCCCACTGGGGTCCCTAGATCGCCGAGCGCGATGCGATAGTGACGTCTTGTGCGCTGGTGTTTGGGCCCCAAACGTCCGCACACCGAGGGTCACCTCTTACCCAGGGTCACTCATGCGTGTAGCCGATCCCTGCGACGAGGGAATTGTAGGGGTGCGTTCGCATGGGGATGCGGTCAGGAATTTTGGCTAGGCGTGTCGCTCGCCGCTTCTGGCACACCGCGCTTCTGCACTACACCCTGCCCACCTCTCGCTCCCCCAGCGTCAACGACTCGAGCTCCTCCCGGCCACCCGCCCCGCGGAGCGGAGCGACACGCCATGCATACCATGTAGCCGGTGCCGCCTCGGCGACACAGTAAGCAACAAAAACCCGACCGTTGATTGGGAATCTCTGAAAGCTGGCGGGTCTGGAGGATGTATCGGGCGCCAAGACCGATCCAGAGAATGCTGTAACGCTCTGGGAGCGTCTGGACCATTTACCCCCATCCTGGGCGGCCTGCCTGACCCCTTCCTCCGTAATTGCATTCTCCTTCTCCAACGCCATCCACGGCGACAGCTAACCGAAGACCGACCGACCGACCGACGGCGAAAACGAAACCGACCGAAGCCGACAGGCCGCAATCATTCCAGAAGGGCGCGGCGATGCATGAACGACACAGCGGAGTCGACACGAACGGACCGACAACCGATTGCGACGCAGCCGAGCCGAGCAGACCGATGGCGCCCCGATCAGGTCAGCACAGTCAAGCTAGACGACCAAGGCACGTGAATTTCACAGTATCAGGCTACCGTTGCGTCCGTTGCGGGGTTCTTCTGAGCCAAATTGAGTCCTGACGATGAGCACCCAAAAGGGTATGTAAGCATTGCCCCACCATCCGAACAAGAAATCATCATGGAAGCAGACATCAGGAGGGAACACACACACACACACACAGACAAGTAAACGTCGATCCCCAGGAAAATCTGGGGAAATATAGAAAGTGGAGGGGAGGACAAATATTGATTTGTGTTTCTGTGTCCCTGGGCCCCTTCATTTGCCCAGGCTTCCAGGTCTGGGAGTCCCTCCCGCTCTCCTCCTCCGGCCTGCTCTCCTCCTCCACCCCAGATGTCAGTTGCATGCTATCTTCCTCCCTCGTCCTCCTCCTCCTCCTCCTCCTCCTCCTCCTGCTGCTCCTCCTGCTGCTCCTCCTCCTCCTCCCTTCTGTCCCATCCCCCAGGTTTCCCTTCTGAGCCCTTTCGGCGTCTGAGCCTGCTTGGCGGCCAAGTGGGGTAGACCTGGAGTCTGTTCGGCGGCCGAACGGGCCCCGCGGGAAACGCTGGGGTCTGCAACCGATTCGCTAGCTCCCCCTTTGCTGTTTGTCTTCCCCCCTCCTTCGTCGGGCCCGGGAGAGGGAGGAGGAGGAGGAGAAGGAGGAGGAGTTGTCGGAGCCGGAGCCGGAGCAGGAGCAGGAGGAGGAGGAGGAGTTGGAGAGAGGAGGAGGAAGAGGAGGAGGAGAAGGACCAGTGCAAACCCAGAACTCGTCAACGATGTTGGAATATACCTTCCCTCCAAGCTCCCTCTTCATTGGCTCCTGCAAGGATCCTTTTCCACTGAGGGAAGTGCCCCATCGGGAGACAATCGTTTGAAGACCCTAAAGCCTGCCAAAACACCATCCTCATGACTTCAACGCCAAAAGTCAACCTGGCTGGCGCGTCTTGACGATCCTGAATCGCGCCAGGAAGCAATTCCTATGACTTTTACACGGCGAATCAACGTAACTGTTGCGCACCGACAGTCCTGATTCGCTCCAACACATTTTTTCTGGGACGTCAACCACGAGAAATAGCAAAACTCTTTGCGATATTCAAACAAAACCGAATGTGCGCGGCGCCAAGGCGAGAACCACACTTTGACAAGAAGCCGCCCTCAATCCGCGAAGCGCATGCAAATCTTCAAAACGAATGCGCGCGGCGCTAAGGCCACATGTTCAACGCCTGTCCTCGATCCGTGAATATATGGCGAATGTCTGAAAAATATGCGCGGCGCTCAGGCGAGAGCCACATTCTGTAAACCACTTGTCCCCAACCCGTGAAGTCCTTGCAATTGCTTGAAATCAATGTGCGCGGCGCTGAGGCGAGAGCCACAATTTGAGACATACTCGCCCTCCATATGTGAATACATTGCCCGTCTTCAGGCTCATCAAGAAGTATGGACGTCTCAAGCGAAACGCCCGACCCGCCCTTCGGACTGGCCGTGGGAAGCGACAGTGAGCAATTTTTCATAAGGAAAGCGAGTGGAGGAGAAACAGGCGGAGAAGAATGATGATAATGAGGATGAGGAGGAGGAGGAGGAGGAGCAGGAGGAGGAGCAGGAGGGGGAGGAGCAGGAGAGCAGGAGGAAAAGGAGGACGAAGAGGAAGAGGAGGAGGGAGGAGGAGGAGGAAGAGGAGGAGGAAGAGGGAAGCAGAGGAGGAGGAAAAGGATGAGGAGGAGGAGGCGGAGGAGGGAGGAGGAGGAGGAAGGGAGGAGCAGGGGGGGGGAGGAGTAAGAGGAGCAGGAGGAGAAGTTGGAAGAGGAGGAGGAGGGAGAAGAAGAAGAATAAGGAGGAGGGGGAGGGAGGAGGAGCAGGAGGAGGGGAATGAGGGGAAGGGCAGGCGCCCAGCTCCGCGCTGCGCGACGCGCTGGTGGCCGAGATCCTGGCCGGCCTCCAGGAGGGGCCCTGGGGCGACCTCCCTTCCATGGGGTTAAGTCGGGCCTGTCCCCCTACAGCGGGATGATCGACGAAAAATACAAAATACCCGAACAATAATAGAAAAATAGTCCTAACATAGTCTGGGGACTATTTTTGTTAGCATTTTTTCGCCAATCTGGAGCATTTTCGTGTTTTTTTTATTTTTCATCGAAAATCCCCATGTATGGGGGACACGCCTGACTTAACCATAGGGTCGGGGGCGGCCAACCTGGGGGCGGCCAAGGCCAAAAGGGGGGTGATGACTCGGGGCGGGGGGGATATCATGGCGGGGGACATGATATCTCCCCGGATTACATGGCGCTGCTTTGCACTTCAGTGCGTACCCGCCCATCCCCCTCCTGAGCCCTGAGCCTCTTGGACGCCCCCCTCTTGGACGCCCCCGATGGGGGTGGGCCAGGCCCGCACACGCACGCGCGCGCAGATGCTGCACTCGAGCATGCCCTCGCGCCGTCTGTTCCGACATGCGGCCGTGCGTCTGCGCCTCGGCCCAAAGGGAGGCCTCCGGCTCGAGCACGAGGTATGCCGTGGGTTTGCCGCGGTGCCGGCTTCGTCTGCTTTGGACGCGCTCGGCGCAGACAGCGCGGCGACGCATGCTCGTGGGCAGGACCTGGCAGTCAGGCTCAGGCCCAGCGGTGCTATGGGCCCGATTCTAGCAGGGCCGCATGTCGACATGTCTGGCCCGACGCCAGAAAGCAGGCGTCCTTGGTGAAGCGCCGGCGTCTCCGATTTTTTCACGCTTGGTTTCGGGCCCCAGGGCCCTTCGCGGATCGGCCCGGCTCGAGAAGCGCCCAGCTCCAGTCGCGTTTGGCTGCGGATGCATATTTTGTCGTGCCGTCGGACTTCCGCTGAGGAGGGGCCCAGATCACCTCACGTCGCAAAAGAAATGCGCCTGGCGAAGGACCCAACCATATGCTGTTGTGGGTACCGCAGTTGTGAGCATCGTTCTCGGTGAAGCTCCCTATATGTTGCCCCTGAACGTGTGAGGGGTGAGCCGAAAGGGGTGCCGACCTGGGTGGCCGAACTGTGATACTTCCCATCTCCCTCCTCCTTTTCCATTGTTATTATACATTATGAATACTACTCTCCTCTTCCATCTGGTTCTGCCTGGAAGATGTCCTGCCCTCACTGTGTCTTGTTTTCACACGTCGGATTTTAAAAGTTGGTCTTCTTTGTGTGTGCGTTCCGCTCCAATCAGTTTCGGTTCTTCTCGCTTCAGCGCTGGCCTCATGTCCGCGCCCTTGGTCTTTCACATCCCGCTGCAGCGTTGATCTCATATCCGTGGTTTCGGTCCTTCCGAATGGTGTTCCCGCTGCAGCGTTGGCATCATGTCTGCGACTGCGGTCCTTCCAGATGGTGTTCCCGCTGCAACGTTGGCCTCATCTCCAAATTTCGGGGGCCTGCTGATATACATCACTACCGTTGGATATGTTTTGCCATGGAGGTTGATTGGGTTATTGTTTCGGTGGTGGGTCGCAAGGTGTGTCAAATCACGCGTTGGTAGCACGTTGCCTGCGCAGCGTCATTTGGGCGCGCGGCTCTATGGGCAACAAGCGGTGCACTGTCATTGTGTAGATTTCAGGCTGGTGCATGAGATTACTCGGCGGTCTGTCGTATCTATTCCATCCCCGGATGGCGTTTGAGTGTGTGGCAGCAGCTGTTGTAGAGCCAATTGCGGCCGCCATCTGCGCGCATGTGTATGTTTCAGGCTGGTGAATGAGATTACTCGGGGGTCTGTCGTATCTATTCCATACCCGGTTGGCGTTTGAGTGTGTGGCAGCAGTTGTTCTAGAGCCAACTGCGGCCGCCATCTGCGCGCGTGACTACGTGAGCAGTGCTCTCGCGTGGCGCGGGCACGCAGTGGCGGCCCCTGTCGGGCCGGTCGCGCGCACGATGTGCTACTTTTCCACTGCCGCTTGGTGGTGGTGTATGTTTGCGGGCCCTGCTCAGTTGCCGGTCCTCCAGCATATTTTTCCGGTCGCGCATGTCATGCAGCCATGGCATGCAGCTGAATTTTTTTCATGTACCGCTCGTATGCGATGACATGTTTTGTTCTGCAATGCTGCGATCGGCAGCGTTGGGTAACGGAGTGGCATGACCTGCAATGGCATGCCATGCAATGCTATGGTATGTACCGCTATCTGGTGCCACACCTTGCGCTGGAGTGCTTGACTACCAATGCTGTGCCATGCAATACATCGCGTACCTTTGGGGATCGCTGTCCTCTTTGGCGTCCGAGTGTGCGAACAGAGGGATGCTCTACACAATGGTAAGGGATGGGAGGGAGAGATAGGGCGTCAGACATGTCGCGAGCGCACCTACCTCGTCCTCCTTTCTCATCTCTCTTTTATCACTTTCCTTGTTGCTCTGCCTGCTTCGTGGCCCGATCCCGTTTGCCGGGCTCTCATGATGAGTGATTTGCACATGGCAGCTATGCCCTACGCATTCCGGTCAGGCTTGCCCTTCTTACACCATGTTTTTCGCAGTTGCGCCGTGCTGGCGACGTCCAATACCTAACTGCACTGACAGGGTGATAGTTCGATCCGCTTGCGGAGGGGCGCAGAATGTCACATCGAAAATCCACGTTGCGGAGACGAGCACGCCCGTACACGCAGATGTTTCCACAAAATTAGCGTGCCTTGATGGAGCGTCGCGCGGAATCAAGAACGTGTGTCCCCAGTACCAGAATAGTTACACACTGCAGTTGTGGACGCTATAGGTACCCCAACCAGCCCATGCAGAAGCGATTCCCAGTTGAGTTGCCTTGATCAGGGAATCGTGGGACCATGTAGTGGAACGAAGAGCGCGGCAACTGTCAAACTGAAGCTCGGGATCACTCTGAGCAGACCCAGGAGTCCACCGTGAATACAGCAATGGAAATTTCGATCTGGTAACCAATTGAAGATGTCGTGGGCCAGTGTGTGGGCGATGTGGGGACATGTTCGGAGGCCTGTGTGGCTTTCACTAGCCTTCCCAGAGGCATCGGATGACCTCTTGGGGCCATACTGGAGGACATCGATCAAAGAAAGGGTTTTCCAATTAGAGCTGCCTCCCGTGAGCTTGAAAACCCATCAACCCTTGGGGAGCTATTGGAGCACTCTTGGGGGATGCGGTTGGGTTCGGGACCCATTCATGGAGATCCTAGCCATCGTGTGGTCTCAGAAGCCCATCGGACACGAAAAGGCGAGAAGACAAACACACTGAACAACCGGATGTTCCATCTGTTGCGGAATGGAATTGGCGTTTCTTGTGTAGTGTTGGGAGTTTTCGACGCGATTGGTAGTCTGTTTTCATTATTAAGTAGTGGGCCATTGTGAATGCATATTTGAGGCGGTGTCGCGTCATTATGTGCCACATTAGGGGTCATCTCAGGGGATATGGGGCCAGATTGGAGCTGTCTTGGGCCGGCAGCCTCCGAGGGATGATTTTCAATGGGCCAGAATATCTCAACAACATTGTTGTTGTTTTAATTGGTGTAATGAACTGGTGCTTAGTTGGGCAACCATATGGTCCTCATGACATTCTGTTTATGCTTCATAACTTATGAACAAGCTGGTCCTCAAGTACGCCCCCCTCTTCTACTCCATCCTCCATCGATCTCACTCTCCTCCCTCACCGGCCCCTTATCATCCCCCCTTTGCTGCCTCCTGGTCCTCTTCCCTCTGTGCCTCCATCTGTTCTGATACACGGCTGTGAGCTTTCGTCTCCTCTTCCTCCTTCCCCTCCGCCTTTTCCCAGTCCTTCTCCTTCCCTCCACCCGATGTCCACCTCATCGCCGCCCTCATGATCATTGTCTTCAGACTTTTCCGCTGCAGCAGCAGCATCCTCCCTCTCATCCTTTCTTGCTGCTGTTGCTGCTCCTCCACTTCCTCCTCCTCGCCAGTTATCCCCTCCCTCCCCAACCCCATCCTCTTCTCTTTCCTCCCGCTCCCCATCTTCCTCCTCCTCAACCCCCGCCCTCCCTCCCCCGATCTCGCCCTCCCCCGATCTCCCCCGTTGCCCTCCCCGCCCTTCCCCTCCCCCCTCCCTCCCGCACCGTTCGTTCTGTAGCGGCCTGGAACGTGCCCGTCTGTGGAGGACATCGTGCTCAGGAAAAGGGGAAGTGTGTGGGACAGTACGTACACGAAGATGTGCCACTCCTCTGGAGGCGCTTCAGTCACAGCTTCATCCCAAGGAGGAAGAGGAGTGGAGGAGGGACTTGTGGCTCAGGCCAGCTCCATGAGCATCCTTGGCCAAAGAACCACCCAACAGACAGGCCGGGGCGTCCGCATGATTTCCCTGCTCGGCCTTTGGCGGCCTCCGTGTCCCGCATGTTGTGGTCCGCTGTGACATTGTCTGGCAAGCGTGGGCAGCAATGCAGGACGACAGCGCGACAACTCTCATACCGCATGTTTGAAATTTGTAATGGCTCTTACACGATTGTGAAATCACTGCATGCACGCAGGGCAGCGCGCCAAGTCAGTAAGTTTACGCGTGCGCCGTCTCACGCCGTGCATAATGACGGCATCGGTTGTCAATCGTTGCCGGGAGGCACACGTGCAGGAAGAAATTTTGGAAGTCAAATCGTGATTGATATCAGCCGTTCGTCGAGTATTCGCCCACATCTGTGGGCGATCCACCTCGTGTTCTACCTCGGCGTCTTCCAAATCCGCTCTGAACCGCTTGGATGGTTTATCTTCGGTTATCAACGAGCAAGCGGTCGATCGGTTGCGCCGCGCATCGGCCGAACGACCTTGCTTGTGATACCGAAAGCCGAAGACACATCTCCCGACATTGCCTGCACCCATGACCTGCGTGTGCAAGCACGCACGCCTGAATAAACACAAACGCATGTAGAGAACCATGATCGGTTGAGCAATGAACCCTCGCACTGCGCTATTACCTCATGCGGCGGCGCGCGGCGCGCACCATCATTGTCTTGGAGCACGGACGAGTCAATTTGCATCACGGCGAGCGCACTCA